TATCCCATTTCGCACTTGTAGTGGTCGATCGCAGTCTGCTTTCTCTTCTTCTGCGGCATGGCAGTTCCCATCGTAGCATCTGTTTTGCTTTTGCAAAACAGAAGTCCAAGTCGAGTTGAAAACCGTTCGCCTATTCGCTGTGATTGCAGCTTTTTGACGTCAAGCCTTCCCTGTGTTTGCATGCGTTCTTTGCTGCACAGAGTCGGGAGCATATCCAATAGGAGGTATCAATTTCAGCCAGGTCCGTCGAACGGAGTGAGGTCTTCGCCTTCCTCTGCTTCCACCGGCGGGTACAGCATTGACAATGATGGGAGCTACAGTTTACCATAAGTAACCTCCGAACGGCTGACGAAATTGTCATATCAGTAAAACAGTAGGGTTTAACATTCCCAGCTGAGGAGTTTAAAAAATTAGAAAACTTAACTCAATTTATCTTTGTTCGCCGAACCTAAGATCTTCCGCATGTTGGCACGCGCACTGTCAATCACTCGGCTATTGCTGTCGTTCATTTTCTCCTAAAGTGATTCTAATTGATTTGTCTCTGAGGCCAAACGTGTGTAGAGTTACCAACTATAAACGCTGCCAACCACCACAACGTAACCGTGCTTTAATGGATGAATTGGGACTGAAATCTCCAAATTGGCATTCTACTTGGATTTCGTGCGTCAAAACTGCAATTGTGTGTCATTTGATTGTCAACAATTATGTCCCAAAACTACCGCTTAGTTCAACTACAATATTCAATTGGTCTGTTTGCTGCGTGTGTTTGGGTGTATGTGTGTGTATTGGCAGACGATGAGTAATGCGCTTACAGTTCTCAAATGGCTAATAACAAAATGTTTTACACTGATTTCAAATTTACAGCTTAACGCAGGCAGAGATCCTTGTGTAAATATGCAGCAGGCATTGCTGACACAGAGTACACATGTTTATACATATATACATATATGCATTGTATTTACATAAATATATATATATTAGTATTTGCTGCAAGCGCTCAATGAAAATTACTCAAACCGAATGTTATTGCACGGACATGTGTTGCATGAATTAATTCTGTCGCAATATTGCTCAGCTGCATTGGAATGCTTACATACACGTACGAGTACGAGTACATATCCTACATAATACGAGTATGTATGTGAAGGCATGGACGTGAGATTAATTATATAATCGACACTCGGAATATGTTTCATGTGTGCAACTGCATCATTTATATGTATATGCGTATGCCGATATGTATGCACTTGTATGCCAACGAATTTTGTGACTGTGCCTACGTACGTACATACATCGTACATGCCTACATACATATTACAGTGTTTTTACAAGTGAATCGACACAGCCTCTGTTATGCATTTGGGAAGACTTTTCTGCCTGTTTGCTGCCGCCTCCAACTCCGCCCGCCACTCCATTGCCATTTTGGGTTTCGACAGATTTTTCGTTTCAATTAAAAGTTGTTGCCAATGAAAGTTTGCAATACAATTAAATGAAAAATCAAAGTGTGACGGTTGTTGATTGGCTGTTATCGAGGCCATGCCCTTGGTGATTTCTGCTGCTAAAATGAAAGTGGTGATTTGCTTGAAGAGAAGGAAAAATGTGTACTGAAAATAAAGAAAAATTAAAATTCGGTAAAACTTATCGTTATTTCCGGTTTTGATGATTTTGATTCGCTGTAAAAATCTTCGTATGTGGTGGCGCTGTAACACGAACTGAGTCATTTGATGGAGGTATTTGTATCAGACATTATTGATTGGAACTCGGTAGGCAAACTTATCCAGCGAATTTTTTTTTATTAGTATTTTGCGCTTGCTGTTGAGGTAAGTAAGTAAGTAAGTACTCAAGCTGTGCATTACTCGTAACCATGGACTGACGGACGAACAAATGTTGATATTCCAATTTGTCTCGTTTGTTTTGAAGAAATTGTCACAGACAAGCCAAGCTACGCAGTGGCTCATGAGAAACACCTTGAAGTACTACAACAATGAAGCGATTAAAGCGAAACTCTAAAGCTAAGTAAATTTGATATTTAAATTTAACTCAAAAATTGTAATAAACTTCAAAAAAGTTTTAAAATTGTTAAAATGTGATAATCTTTTTGGCATCACTGGTTTCATCAGCTGACGCACGTTTCGTGTTTTGTATCACTGTCAAAAATCCTCAGTTTGGTCTATAATTTAAGCATGAATTGTCTAACAAACGAACTTGGCAATTAATGAATTTTATTATTAAAAGGCGGGCTCTGTTCAGAAAATTCAAAAAAAAAAAAAAAATTGTGTTCACCGACAAAGCCCATTTTCGGCTTACTGGGTGCGTAAACAAGCAGAATTTTCGATTTTGGAGTGAAGATCAGCCAGGAGCATTGCAAGAGCTGACAATGCATCCAGAAAAAGTTAAAGTTTGGTGCGGTTTATGGGCTGGTGGCTTCATTGGACCTTACTTCTTGAAAGATGATGCGAATCGTAACATAACTGTGAATGGTGAGCGCTACCGTGAGTTGATATCAAACTTTTCTTTCAACAAGACGGTGCCACATGCCTTACAGCACGCGTAACAATTGACTTATTGAGGGGCGAGTTCGGTGAAAATTTTATTTCACGTTCGGGACCGGTCAATTGACCGCCTAGATCATGTAATTTAACGCCTTTAGACTATTCTTTGTTGGGCTATGTTAAATTAAATGTCAATAAAGACAAGCCTGCTTCAACTGACGCTTTGGAGGACAAGATTGAAGCATTTATTCTTGAGATACCGGCCGAAATGTTGGAAAGAGTATGCCAAAAATGGACTAAGCGAATGGACCATTTGAGGCGCAGTCCCGGTCAACATTTGCATCAAATCATCTACAAATTTAAAATATAAAGACCATACTATCGATTCAAATAAAGATTTCGTGCACTTTTCTGAAATGTATGTGTCTCTTTTAAAAAACTTTCCTATAGCTCTTAAAAAATCACCCTTTATTTCAAAAAACTATTTTCATACATTCCATTGGTCCAAGTGCAACTAGTTCAGTGGCGACGTCAGTTTCATGTTTCAAGTCATGAATCGTTTTATCGTCAATGGCTCTTCACCAAAGGTAATACCACGGAGTCGATCCGCAGGTGCTAGGCGGCTAGCTGCCCTCGCCGTTTCGGCGATCGATTGTAATGCTAGCTTTGTGGCCAACCAAGCATTCTCATTCTCTTCAACATTTGGAAGCAATTAATATATGAGCATGTCATAATAATTGGCATAGCGACAACGGCAACTCTTTCAGGTTTTCGAAGAATAACGGCCCAAAGATGTCGCCTGCCTTCATGCCGCACCAAATAGTCACTCCTTAAAGATGCATTGGCTTTTTCATTGGACTCATGGGCCGCACAACAGTACGCGTGCGAACATTTCGCTTGTTAACGTAAAAGAAACAGATTTTTTGGTAAAATTAAAGCTCATCTTCTGAAAAGTGATCTTCAACCTACTGTGCGTGACAAAATTCATGAACCAATTAGACTTTATGAGAATTTATAGCGAGGTCTTTATGCAACTCGGCGAGCTCGGTACAAATATCCACAAACTGCTCTGTAGCGCGAATTTATTCCGTCGAAATTTATGATATTAATGTCATCGGCATACGAAATCCGTGCTTCACTCTTGTAAAATATCATGCCTTGTCTATTCCGGGCAGGCTGTCTGAAACCTCGTTTGTAATGAAACGACTCGGAGAGCTCCTTTCTAATTCTGACTGCGCTTTTGGTGTTGTCCAGCGCCATTTTACACAGCTGTATAAGAGTTGGGTTGAGTTGAGTTGATGCCTCTGCTGGTCAACCCCAGCACACTTAGGCCAATAGGCACACTGTGATACCGCTGAGGCTCCTGCCTTCACCATCTCAAATGATCTAAGCATTTCGTGTGCCTTATATATGCAACGAGATTTCCAATGTTCACGAAGAAGTCATGCCCAAGAAAGAAAGGCTGGACTCCCTCTTCTTCGTCCCTACAGTCGCGACAGAAACCGTTAGAGTAAAAGCCCTTCCTAATCCCGTGAAGCCTCATTAAACAGTGCCCAGTTATTATACCTGTCGTTATGTTAATGGAAAACCGATCCAGAAGGTTAAGATGTGCAGACGTTTTGTTTATTGGTTGGCTTTGTTGGCTGTTTGCATAGCTCTGCCGGTAGACCATCAGCTCCAGCCGCTTTGTTGTTCCTTAAACGGCTAGTCGCTATTCGAACCTCGTCATAGTTGGGTAATCCTGCTTTTTTGGTCTTCATCATAGGTTGGAGTTTTGGGTGCACCTTCTCCGGGTGTTTAACTATTTCACTGTCATTCCTCAGGCTAGAGAAGTGTTTCCCAAACAAATTCAGTATACCCATTCACAAAATCACCACGTTGGGTTCTGCAAGAGCTTATTCTGGTCCCGGAAGATTGGACAATATGTAGAAGTTGAGGCATATGAGGAAAGCTTTCGACTACCTTTCACCTGGGAGTGCTCAATAACGATTCTTTTACACTTTCTTTCCATGTTTTGCTATATCATGACTTTTAGTCTTAGACAAAGTGTCCCTTGGGTGGCCAGCAAATATCCGTTTGGAGGCGTGTTAGGGTTAAATGGTAGAAAGTGATTCGATTACTCTTCTAAAAATATCAAGAAAAGCTTATATAGCAGACAATGACTCTCAATTTTGGCCCACGGTGAGCCTTGCACGGCCTTGGAATTTTCTCTGTTCTCCTATTTTTTTTTTTTCAAATTATTCACTTAACTACATCAGATGGCAAACATATTGCGTTACATAAGCCCCACAGCACATCACTACCTGTCGCCGCTATGTTAAGCTACATCTCTTCTATATGAAGATAAGTACTCGTACACACATATATTCAACTACTTCTATATGTAGTGGTATTTTACGTTATTTCCACAAAGATATTCTTCAAATATGCAACACGTAAATACATCATATTTATCTACAATTTTCTTTTTTTTTTCTCCTCTTTCTACTCTATTTACACCGCTTACAGATTTTAGCAACGTGAAGGCTTTGCGCATCCTGAACTCTGAACTGGCAGACACACTGGGAAATCTCTTATCGCGAGCTTGTGCAAAATCCCTTAATCCGCGACAAGTTTACCCGCGCCTGCATGCGGTACAACTCGACGATTTGCTGCGGATGGATGCCACCAAGCGGCTGCAGGATGCCTTGCAACAAATTGAAGGTAGTGCACTAATACACACACAACACAAAGGCACACACACACAATCATACTACATTCATACAGAAATATTGTACACACTAATACTTAGTGCTTTGGGGCTATTTGCTTTAGCTTCGAAAGGTAGTGCGCGCAACCTTTTGATTATCCTGCTTGCCGCGAGTCTAATGGGTATTGGTGGTGGGCGTGTTAGTGTTAGTGTTGCTAGTGTTTTTTTTTTTTATTATTCTTTAATGCTAAGAATTGGATTTTTGCGCCTTAAGCGTTGTACAACGGTGCAGTGGAAAATGAAATTTATGTACTTATTTTTAAAGGTGAAAAATTCAGAAACGATATAACTGTAAATACGTAAATACATCAGCTGTTTAGCTTTGTTGCGCTGCGCCTGGCATTCAGTTAAGCAATTACAATCCTCTTCTTGCTGGCAGTAGTCACAGTCAGCTTCTTTTCTCACCTCTCTCCCGCTCTCCCACTCTCGCACTTTCGCCGACTGATTAGTAAAGTTTCAAATGCGCACAACTTTCATTAAAGCAATTTAAGTTGCGTTAAATTCGGTGCGTTCTCGCTCCATTAAATTGGAAAATTTTTCGGTAAGAAAATCTTCTAGAAAATGCATTTTCGTTGTGCGATTAGTAAATAAAGTTTTCTCCACGCTGATGAAAATTATGAGCAAAGTTTGAAGCGTTGGAAAGTGTTTTATGAAAATTAGAATGCAAAAAAAAAAAACAAAAAAAAATGAATTCCTTTTAAAGAAAGACTAGTTTCATGAATTTTAGTGCTTTTAGTGTTTAATGCAATATTTTTGTTGGCCCTTTGCAGCGCCAGCTGGAGGTTGAAATAAATGCGTGGTAAAGTAGTCTTCGTATAGGACGCCAGCGCTTTTGAGAAGTTTAAAAAGGACTTGATATCGAGTGTTCATACCAACGATGCTTCTAAATATATAAGACGAGTCATTTTATCTTCCCCAGGAGCAGTTTCAGAATTGAGGCTTAGGTTAGGTTAGGTTAGCTGGCTGACCTAGTGGGTCTCACATAGACAAAATACATCAATATTGCTACCAGGCACACTACATGTAAACGAGCTATGCTGCTACAGTCCTATTGTGCCTGCAGTGGAAAATAACATTGTTGTTCCATTCGCAAATTTAAGTAGTTGTTCTGTCCCTGATTGTAGATCTTGTAGTATTTCTGCGCCAAAAATGTATAGCCTTTGTCTTCCAAAAGCCGGACATTAACAGATTACGTGGTCCACTGTCTCCGTGTATTCCTTGCATTTCCTTCACTTCGCAGTCGAACTAACTACTAAGCGCATGAGACACCAGAATTTAATAGTCCTATCAGCAGCCTAGAGTCCGGTTTTCTTAACAGATAGTCCAAACTTTTTGAGTTTAGTAATGTATGTTTTACACATAGTGTTCGCAATTCTGCAGTTCTTAGCTCGTTCCCAGAGTCTATTCGCCTGACGAAGTACTATTACTTCTTGCTTCTTCTTCACTTCCTTGAATGGAACTGGAAGGTTCGATGCTGCGTTCTGTTAAATGAACACCTTCTTTAGCAGGTTCGTCGACAATATCATTACCTTCAATGCCCGTGTGGCCTTGCACCCCGTAAATGTACACTCTTCTGTTTGAATCGCTCAGCGCTGGAATTTCTTTACGTAATGCGACCACAGCTGACTTCGGGATGCATAAAATTAAGTCCTTTATGGCCGCTTGACTATCCAGATGGATGTGTTTTCATTTCATTTGAGAGCTGGAACTTTGCAGTAGCTCTGCCGCCATTTTTGTGGCAAAAATTTTAGCTTGGAAGATACCGCAATGGCTTGGCAGCTTATGCGACTTTCTTATTTCCAGTTGGGCGCAGTAAACTGAAGCCGTTACTCCTCCGTTCATCTGAGTACCATCTGTGATAATGTGAAGAGCTTTGTTTGTATATTTCAGACCTTTATTCCAGCCATTGTAGCTAAAAACAGCTGCTTCCTGAAATTCAGACGAGGTATTACGTAGTCTATTCGTACCCTTAGAGGTAACGCTATACTACTACGCCCGTAGGTCCTGACTCTCAGCATATAGCTTCGCAGCAGGTAATAATGCTCCGGTTTTAGCTGCCAGGTTTGCTAGACGAATGCTCATTATCGCATGTAGCGCTGCGGATGGTGTTGTTCTGAGTGCCCCAGTGATGCTAGTCATTGAATTTCTGAATACTCTTACTTTTCCTTGCTTATCAAGTAATGTGATTTTCTCTAAAGCTTTCCACCATTTCAAAGCACCGTAGAAAGTATTGTGCTTTAACAGTAGCAATTAAAATCCAGTGGGAGATAACGGGGGAGAGACCCCAAGGGCAGCCCAACATTATTTTACATTTATGCTAGTATAGGGCCCTCTTCACTCGTTCCTCCACATTGAGTCTTCACGACAGCTTGCTAGGTTTGTGCTGTAAAGTGTCCTCTCCCAGCTCTGGCTTGATCCAAGCTGGAATTTCGTTATAAAGAGGACCAAATCTGTTTTATTAGTATTAACTTTGAGTCCTGCTGAAATAATTAAGTTGTTTATGGTTCTAAGTGTCTGATTCGGCATAGATCCGAGGGTTGCCAAGCACTTACCACCCACAATGGCTGAGATATCATCCGTATAGGTTGGAGACATGAAATCTCCTCCTTCTATCTTCTTGGGCAATTCTTGCGATCCAGATCAGAGCTGATAGTACTACACCTTGAGGAGCTCCCCTACACACATCTTCGATATTTCTTTTATGAGAGTGGCGTTTTTGAAATGTGTGTCACTTGCCAACCTTGCAGATCTTATAGCTCATTAGCTCATGGGTTTCTGGAAGTATGTTTGCCTTCTAACCATGCCATTCTAACCTATGTTGGACACCTCACTATCCGTTTTTTCGCTCGATAATTCAGGGATATCCGTTGCGGAATTTTAGGCTTCTTAACTAATTCAGTTCAAGGAATAAATAGTCTTTATATCGGTATCAGTATTGTCGATAGTCGAAACCAATTCATTACATTCATTCATTAGATCTGCTCTGCGTAGAAACGCATCTTGTTTGGCTTTATACTTCATAAAATTAAGGCCTCTTTGTTCGTTTAGCCTCAGGGTCTAAAAAGACAAGGACATACTCATTAGTTGGCTGCACTATCTTTTTATTGTTTTAATTGTTCAAAAAAAGGCGAGCTGTTCATTTCACTCACAGAATTCGTGAAGTATGACAGCGAGTACTTAATGTTCATTCGTTCTATGCTGGCAAGTTGCAGAGAGAGAGGAACTCAGCCGCCCTTTCTATTGAACGCTTTTTGAATTGAATGCTACCTTGAGTTTTTAGCTTCAATGGTCGTCCACTATTGGTTTGTTCCAGTACCTTGCAGTCCTTTCTTGCTTTTGTTTTGAAAGTGATTATTTGAAGCTCCCTCCATCAACCATTCTCACATAAAAATCTAGTCAATAATTTAGTTATCCCGCATTTAATTGTTTTTTTTTTTTTTATAATTTGCCCCTTATAAATCTGAGCCACGACTACTTAAACTTACAGATTGAAGTCATTAAATCAAATTGAGTGAATAAATATTCTCCCAGTACCGTTTCCATCACATCGCACTCATAAAAAAACACTTCTTCCATATTATTAGCACATAATTTCGCTCGTGCTCTGCTCTCGTCCGCAGGCTAAACTCACGGACTCTCGCTCACTCGCTCATTTGGATATCATTACCTCTCCTTGTAATTTCCTTTATTATTCACCATCAACTTGCAGCATTTTTATGATTATTCTATATTTCTTCTCTATGTTTGCAGCACGTTGCGCCCAGCATTATGCGGATAACAATTTCTATTTGGTCGTGGACACAGTAATATCCACTTTGCATGCGGCCAATAACTTCTTCGAAACAGCACGTCCGTGGGAGTTGAAGCGCCCGATAGCTGCTGGTGGCACTGATGCGGACGCGGCTAATACGCGGAATATTGAAAATTTCGAACGGCTAGAAACGATAATCGCCATGACAATGGACACGTTGCGCATCTGCGGTATTGTGTTGCAGCCGATTGTGCCGCAGTTGTGTGGCAAGTTGCTCGATAAATTGGCAGTGCCGCAAGAGCAACGTTTATGGCGTAATTTAGGCGAATGCTGCTTTGCAATGTCCCCATCTATATCCGCATCTAATGGAAATGTAACAAGACCACTCGGTGCGCGCACAGATGCAGTACTCTTCCGACGCATACAACTTGACGAAAGCGAATTGCTGGCGGCGGGTCAGGCGTATAAGCCGCAAGAGAAGAGGCACACGAAGCCAGATGTGGAGGAAAATACAAGCAAGCAAACCAAACAAAAGTCGAACAAAAAAGCAGGGAAGAGCAAGAAAGTGGCGCTGTAGTGTAGTGAGGAAAATTCGTTCAGTGTGGTGGCGCAACGTGAGCGTTGGCGTCTGATGAAGCGGTGCACAGAGACGGGACGGTTATAAGTGTCTCGAGTCATATGCACGCAGCTGTGGCACCGCCAACAAATATTGCCACAACGACATTGAAATAACTACAATAGCCTCAGTATACAGTGGTTGCTGTAATGCCCTGAAGCCGAGGAGCTGTGCTGCACGAATAGTTAGTTGAACCGTAATGCCTCTCCAACGCGACGACGGCTGCATTGACATGACATCCAGTGTGTGCTCGGCAATGAAGTCATTTAAATTTGTTACAATTTCTTGTGCTTCCTGTCGCCAGCCACTACGTGCCACCATTTACCACACGCCTTCGTTCGTCTTCTCAATCTCTTCACATGCAACCCACTTATGCAATCACAAAACCTGTACATACATCCATCCCCTTGGCTGCCGTTGCTCGCTTCTTATTTTGCATCGTCTACTGTCTCTAGCAGTGTTTTTGTAGCAGCTGCTGCTCGCGGTCATCACGTCGCAACAGTAAAGTGTTTTAATACCTTGCCGTCGAGGCAAGCCAACGATTATTCATAGTCGCTTATTTCATTGCTTTTTGATACATTTTTTTTCTTCTCATACCTCTGCATTTTGTTATTATCATCGCTAACTGTACTATGCTTGTGTAACGTTGTCAATGCGAGTTCTGATGTCATTAAAGTTTGTTGCAACTTTGTAAATACATATATATATTTACTCTATCGACAGCACTTAAAAGTAATAAAGGCCCGTTATAAATATTTATGAGATTTATTCGATGTTCTTAGTTTCAGGGCTTCTTCTTTGGTACTAATGAGCGATGCGTGAAGGATATCAAAAGCATAGGGACAACAAGAATATGGTCGGACGAAAGCATGCCTGACGATTGGAATTTAAGTGTGCTCTGCCCAACCCATAAAAAAGGGGACTCCACAATCTGTGCCAATTACCGTGGAATAAGCCTTCTTAGTATCGCCTGTAAGGTCCCGTCGAGTGTATTGTGCAAAAGAAGACAACGTCACTGTTGACAGTCATAACTTTGAAGTCGTTGTTAATTTCGTCAATCTAGGAATCGGAATTAACACCAATAATAACGTCCGTCTGGAAAGCTAACGCAGAATCACTCTTGTCACCAGGTGTTGCCTTGGACTGAGTAGGCAATTGAAAAGCAAAGCTTTCTCTCGGCGATCGAAATCCAAACTCCACAAGCCCCGTATCGCTCCCGTCTTGCTAAATGGTGCGGAAGCATGGACGAGGACAATATCCGATAAGACGGCGCTAGGAGTTTTCGAGAGAAAGGTTTTGTGTAAGATTCATGGTCCTTTGCGGGTTGGCAACGGCGAATACCGCAGACGATGGAACGATGAGCTGTACGAGTTCTAAGGCGGGATTGATATAGTTCAGCGAATCAAGAAGCAGGAGCTACGCTGGCTAGGTCATGTGATCCGTATGGATGCGAATACTCCAGATTTGAAAGTTTTCGATGCAGTACCCGCCGTTGGAAGGACCAGATAGAGAAGGAGCTGGCTGTACTTGGTATTTCCAATCGGCGCCAATCAGCAAAAAGAGGAAACGAATGGCGCGCTGTTGTAAATCGGCCATAATCGCGTAAGCGGTGACTACGCCAGTAAGCATGTCTATTACTTTTAAAATGCTACGGAAGGCACGGACGTTAGTAGGATACAAATTACATAATAATTAATATGTAAATCAGAAATGGGATATTCAATGAAGCAAGTCTACTTTACTCTTTTTTTTTTAACGACGAATCCTGCGTTACCCACCTCCCGCCTAACCATCCGAGGGGCGCGTTTGAGGGAAGTTAAAAAAATCCAACAGACCGGTGACCGAAAACCAGTAACAGTCCGTACTGCCCTGAATCCGAAACCGGCAGGTCGCGGTTACACTTGCCTCTTACATTAAACAGCTACAGATTTGTTCATCAGCTGCTATAAAATTGCATGAGGAAAAGAAGAGAGAATTTATTTAGTTAGTTTCGTTTAGCACTCAGTAAGTAGATTTTGATACAGAAAAGCGAGTCAGTGGAATCAATGTTGGGGAATTGTGTATTAAAATCGTTACTCTTATATAATTGTACATATGAATGTCTATAAACAAATACATATATTCAATTGGATAGCTTATAATAGGTTAAGTTAGGTTAGATAGAAGTAAAAAAAAGGATCCCTCATAAACACAAACAACACGTCCGTTGGGATGTCACAAAGTTTGAAAATAACTTAACGCCGTCTCTAAGATGATTCTATTTCTTCTGCCCGGCAACTAATGTCTCCATCGCATAAGTGATAGCAGTAAAATCCCCTTGAAAAACAATGGAAAAATTTGTATGTCTGAACAAATCGCCGATGAATAATTCTCGATGAAAAAGCTTTAATGCCTCACGTTTGCCCTCACCCATATAAACTTCTATTCTCAGTACGTCACATAACTTTTAATAATTAATTGTCATTTGAAAAAAGTGCAAAGTTTGTCCGTGAAGTAAAATGAACTTAACAGCTCCTTAACCTGCTGCATTTAAATCTCTAATATAAGCGCTGATCTGATTAGCATTACACTTAACCATCAAAATACTAGAGTGGCCACTTGGAAAAGTTATTGTCTACTTGCACTTAAATATCTAACCAAACGGACAGGGTCCACACTGCATTCACTCTTCATAGTTGCTCAAGAACTCAGCTCGCTGAAAGCGAAATTACATACATATATGCAAATGCAAGTACGTACTTTTCATTAGCACACTCGCTCGAATACAAAGAATTGCGTTGTATGTAATTTTGTGGGTTGGTTGCCACTCTCAACTCGCGTAGTCACTCCCTTTATTCGCTCTGACATGGTTAATTTTATGTGTGCCATTAAATGTTGTGGTGGCAGTAAGCTTTATTTTAACACTAACCAACGCCATTAACAAAAGGTATGTATGTGAAGACATTAGTATGTGTAATTAAATATGCCCCGAAGGAAACATACAGAATCTCTGGCTCAGATAATACAATAATAAGTTAATATACTAGTTTTGATAATTGTTGTAGGGGAAAAAAAATTTTCAGCAGTGGAATAACGGATAATGATATTGTAAAATATACTATTTTAGCACATTTTTAAATTTTAAATTATAAAAAAAAGCTGGAGTTCAGTCGCTTCTCTTTCGAATAAGGAACAACTTAACATGCACCAATTGCAACATTTAACATTTAGGATCCTCATAATAAAAATTATCAGTCGTTCGGAGGCGGCTTAGTATAAACTGTGGGTCTCTCCATTTTTTGGAAGAAAATCAATACGTATACCACAATATGAAGGAAAAGTTCGACTGAAAATCGCTTCAGCGGTTACAAAGCACCAGCAATACCTTCCTTGACGTCAATCCTGGCTTGGCAATCATTTGTGCCGATTCATTGACCTTCGACCACAGATATTCCAGTGCGTTTTCCTTGCTTCGAGCATTTTTGGAACGCTTCGACTGCGATAACCGCTAGTAACCTCTTCACGGCCCTTGGATGTCTTCAATCGACTCAATATGGGGTCCTTTGACCACCGATTTTGTTGTAGGGAACAAAAAAGTCACTGGGTGACATATCGTGCGGATAAGACGGTTGTTGCAACACGGCGATCCCTTTAGAGGCCAAATACTAGGACACGTTGGGGGAGGTGTTACGAGTGATGTCTGGGCGCACCCGGTTGACTCGTTTTCGTAATCTTTCAAGTACTTGGCGATTGTAGACTTGAATGACGGCTTGCACCGGTAGAAGATATTCTTTGTGTTTTTTTGGGCGAACCGCGTGCGCAGACAACCATTGTGAGCTTCGGCGTTTGGTTTCCGGGTCGTAGTGAAAAAACCAGCTCTCATCGCCAGTAATAACTCAGCTAAACAGCGCCCAATTTGGCGCAAAATTTTATCGCGACGCATTGATCTAAACAAGCTAGAGCGATGGCAAATATATCAAAGGAGGGGAGAAGGATGCCGGGAGAAGGGAGAAGGAATTTCATGGTCGCAGGGTTACCACAATCGCGGCAATATAAAAAGCCTCATTACGCTGTTGTCACAGATCGTATTCTCTTTGTGGGGATCACTAAATCCATTTTTTGCAAAAATCGTGGACTACTAGATCTAGTGAAATCCTAATATATAAGACGCGCAACGGCAACCTTTCAACCGACTGCTTAAAGAAAATCCATTACTTTATATCTATTTTATATGAATCACGACGAATTCCCTACAGGCACCCTTCCAATGTATATATGTACGTATGCGTCTCCCATCCTCATCCGCTGCCTGCGCAGTGGGTTAGTGGTACTCAAACAATTTCGAATTCTACTTTAAAGCACTGTTACTTTTCTTCTCTATTGCGATTTCATATCCTATGTATGTATGTATGTATGTATGTAGCTACGTGTGGATGTTTGAGTTCTTCACATTCGCGAATGTTTGACACGCCTGCAGCTGCTTTACCGCCACATTGTGGTTACTAAATGAGTTCCACAATTAATTTAACTTTGAGGTGAAAGCGTACTTATGCCAATTAGCGTCGAGTGTGCGTGTGTGTGTGTGTGAGTGCAGCGAGTATTGCACGTAATGCTTTTGAATAATTTCCCTTATATATAGTCAACTGTTTCAGTGTATGCGCTCTATATCTCTATGTATGTAGGTGCATTGGCAAAAGCGCAACAGGAAATTTAATTCTTTACCACTCTCATTGTGCATTTACAACAACTACAACAATTGCAATTGACGCTGCAATGCGAGAAGTCACTGTTTGCCGCTAATAAAAATCGGATTAAATTGTGCTCCTTTAAAGCGGAAAATGTCATTAATATTACAATTGCAAAATACTTTGAATAAATTGCGCCGGTTGAAATGGAAAGCAGAAAAGGGGAGGTGGCGAAAACGTGGCGATGATGTGGTTTTTATATTAGTTGGTAATAAACGGATTAAAGAGTATTTATATA